CGAGAGAGCGTGACTTAGGGTCATACGGCGAAGATCCCACATCACTCGTGGATCACGTGTTTCGGGTCTAACAATATGCAGAACTAAAGCTAAGCCCGACGTGTAACGAATTGTGTTGGAGTTACCTGATTGGCAGGTTGTGTTTTAACCATATACGTAGATCGTCCACAACATAGCGATAGGTAACAAGTACTTAAATAAGAGCACTCTGATATATTGAAGTTCACGGGCTGGTCAAATACCTTCGATATATGGAAATATTTGGATATCAGAGGAATATTCGAATATATATTCTTATAAAATTATTCGCTACGTAAAAATTCGTTCTCGAATTTTGATTTTATGTACAAAACAGAAAATGAATCTCTGTATTTTTATTTTCATTACATACTTTATTTTTTATATCGACATTGCCAAAAAGAATTTCTTAAACGAATATGATTTATTGGTTGGACACGTAACTTCGAATTTATCATGAATAGTTAAATCCTTAAATTAAATATTAATCAGATGATTTAGAATAGGTGTTATTCATACTACAAGAGATTCGTTTTTTGCATTATTATACGGATTTCTTAAGATGTCAAAGATTATAAGAATTAATGAGAACTCATAAATATACACAGCTTTTAGATGTTCAAGCAAGTCTATTGCCATTAGAAAGTGTTTGCGTTATGTCCATTTCATGCCTTTATCAATGTCTTCACATTTTCAAATCCTCCTAAACTCCCTACAATCCTTTTGATTTGATCGAAATTTTCTCCAATACAATCGTTTTCTTTTGTTCTGAAAAAAAGATTTGATGATTTTTCAGCCTAAAAAATTAATTATGAAATATAAATTATCAATTCAAATAAAGCCCGCAATTCTTTTTTAAATTTTCATTAATATAGTATTATTTATATTAATAAGAACTTCATAAATCATGGTTATAATGTTTTATATTCTTATATCTAACGTATTTTCTTTACATTGAACAAAATAATGGATGCTTTTCTGTTTGATGTTTTAAACATCTGTAGCAACCCTTTTTTCCATGAAAAGCATCTAATTTTTTAAACCTTTGACACAATTTGCAAATAAAAAAAGTCTATAGCGACAATGTTTTTTTTTTTTTTTAATTTTGTACAAGTATTGTAAACATTACGAAATTTAGTTGTCATATACAAAACCAAAATATCGAAATTATAATTTTGAGTTTAAAAACGGGAACGGATTTTTGGGCGATGCTTGGTTCGTGAGAACCTTCCGAGTTGCTAAAAGTAGTCAATGGTGCGAATAATGGGTAAAATAGTCGAGCAGAAAATTTCTCCTTATGTCGAAATCAGATTAATGTCGAACGAAATATTCAGAATAACAAATATTTTAAATTAATTGGCCAAATTAGTGAAATGGCAAATTTTCTCGGCAAGACTATTCTATCTGCAAATAGTCAAGGTCTTAATCTTTCCAAACTTGAATTTGATAAAATTCTGGTTAGATAAAGTAAGGTATACCGAACTTTTTGACAAAATTTCAAGGCCTGAAGTAACATAAAAATTGTAGAAAATTCAAAAATCAATAAAAACTTAAATTGTCTTATGAGACCATCTTTTGTGATCCAACATAAGAATAACTACATGTTACCTGGTCTTAATATTCATCATGACTAGGTATTCGATTCTTGTAATCTATTTCGTCCAATCAAGACAGCATTTCTATACGTCTAATAAAAACCCGGGAAATTAAATAAACCATACATTTCTTATATGTAATACTGTAAAATCTTCATAAGTGTATCCTCTATAATTGCACACCCCCTCTAAATGCACACTCAAATTTCAGCCATAAGTACGCCTTTTCCTTATTGTTTTCTAAGTGCAGTTTGCTAAGGTTTTTGCACATATGAAGATTTTACTGTATGCATTTAGAGTGGGTGTGCACTTATGGAAAACGCTTAACTGTATTGGAATCGGGATTTTATACTAGAATTGCCAGGATCTTGAATGATCAAAATTTGGGGGTTGTAAGAATTTGGTACTAATTAGGATTTGGAATTATAAATATTGAGATTTAATGCTAAACCAAAATGATTTATGCAATGAAAATAGTTATTTTTTTTAAAAAAAAGTCCGGAATACATTTATTAATCAATCGTTTATAATTATATAGTCTTTTAGCGTTCTAGTATTCTAGTGTTTTAGTGTTCTAGGTGTTTTAATGCTTTAGTGTTCCGGGCATTTTAGTGTTCTGGTATTCCAGTGAGGTCCATATAATTTCTCCAACACTCTCTTTTCCCAATAGCTAATTTCTCGTCACTTTCAATTACTTCCCTAACATAACCACTTCTACAATCACTTTCCAGACCTAACCATATTGATCAATGTTAACTTATGACTCATTATGACTTATTGAATTATAGGTTATGACCTATAAAATCCACTATTTTACCGTATATCATAATATACATTTTTACGTAGGTCTATGTACTTTACAGAAACTTGATTTTTTACTAAATATAATAATTATATAATAATTATATTAATATTATATAATTATAATA